CAGCCACCCCCTATGATTGGGTGATCATATCACACTGCACCCCACTCCCTGTGATTGAATGATCATATCACACTGCACCCCACTCCCTGTGACTGGATGATCATATCACACTGCACCCCACTCCCTGTGACTGGATGATCATATCACACTGCAGCCCACCCCCTATGATTGGATAATCATATCACGCTGCACCCCACTCCCTGTGATTGGATGATCATATCACACTGCACCCCACTCCCTGTGATTGGATGATGTATATCACACTGTACCCCACTCCCTGTGATTGGATGATCATATCACACTGCACCCCACTCCCTGTGATTGGATGACCTATATCAGCCTGTTGTAGTGAGAACACAACACTTTGGTAACTGTGTTCTTTAGTTCTGATCTTCAGACTCAAGCCTGGAGTGCACAGCATTGGTCTAGGATGCTTGGGACACTGTTTATGATGAATATCTTTTTCCCTTGGAGCAATAAGCTAGAAGACAGTTAGATTTTAGGGCCTAATCTGTTTTTCTTGCTGTGTAGAGTAGTAGAGGGGTAGAAGGCCTCTCATGAGCAAGAGATAGGGTCAGAGGAAGGAAGCTGAATTCATCCTTCTATAAGGAACCTGCTCTCTCCAAATAGCATAAGATTTTTATGAGGGCAGAACTTTTGTGATCTGATCATCCTTGGAGGTCCCATTTCTCAGCATCCTTGGAGGTCCCATTTCTCAGCATCCTTGGAAATCCCACTTCTCAGCACAGTTGGGCTATGGATTAATCTTCCAGCATGGGTTGGAAGATTCAAATAGAGTGAAGAGATTCTGAAAAAATGAGAAAAAGTAGTTCAAGCTCCCAAGTGAAGTTCCTTGGCTGCTTCAAAGCCTTCCCATGTGACAGCCTTGACTGTTCACATCCTGAGGCTGCCAGGTGGAGAGGACCGGGGTCAAGAGGTGCTCATTCCCACAGTACAGAATTAGCAAAAGTGAAGGCACAATGCCCCTTCTCTCCTGGGTTTGCCTCAAACAAATGATTTAGAGTGTATTTTAGGAGTTGGTTTCTCTGGATGGTAAGAATTTAGCAGAACTATTTTGCAGTTTCAGCTCATGGTGTGCTGCTGTTCCTCTCCCATGCTGGGTGCTGCAGAAAGTCCAAGTTCTGTGGTTGATGAGCTTCCAGAGGCAAGGCTCTACTCCAGAAAGGCCAGTTCTCCTGCTTCAGGGCTTCCCAGGCACAGCTGCCTGCTAACATGGCCCCCTTAGCTCTTCACACCCTGAATCCCCTGCCTTCATCCTTCCGTTAAGCATGTCTTTACTTTTGCATTTCCTTCCCCTTTCCATTGCTGCTTCTAATTCCTTTTCATATGTTTATTTCTCACTCCATCCCTAAAAGCATTTAAGATAGTACTCAAACAGACTCAAGGCCAGACACATCAGATTCAAGACAAAATAAGTAAAGAAATCAGGTGTGAGGATCGGGGTTACATGGTCTACTGTGTGATCCGCTGAGTCCTGGAGTCCCCTGATTTTACTTCTGAGTTTCTTGCCTGACAGAATGGAGGCAGACATTAATGCAATGATGTGATTCCCATTAAAAGCTGAGAACATCTTGTCTGTACAGGTTCCTCTTTCCTGGTCACTGGAACTTGATCAGTGGACCCTCACAGTAAGAGGCTTAGAATTAAAACTGGTATCATGGTAGTTCTGTGGCATTTTTTCTGAATAGATAAGACTAATCAATTATAGACTTGGGTTTTTTAAAAGTTTGCATTGGTAGATGAGCGATGTTGGTCATGAATAGCTTTATAGAAAACATGATTGAACACTGAGACATCAGCCTGACAACTCAGAGTGTGTATGGAGATACATGCTTGTGCATGAGTGTGCACAGATGCATGTGATGTCTGTGTAGGTCAGGATGCTGCTCTGTTCCCCTTGTGCGGTCTTGAAAAATTCCAAATGGCAGGGAAGTGGAAGATGGGATCTCTCTTTAATTTGAAAGATGTTTGCATGTGCTTTGCATAACATTAAGAGTCAGAACAGCTGGCAAACTCCAGTGCCAAGAGTTGCTGCATATTTTTGCTTTGCACTTCAGAATCCAGCCCCGCACCATCTCACGGTGTAACATCTGCTTTACCCACGGTGTCCAGAGGGAACATAGGTCTCTCTTACTGACACCCACAGTTTTAGGGTAAACTCGTTGAAATCTGCTGGTGACCATTGCTAATCTCATTGTCACTACAATGATAATGCCAGTTTTGTAATCTTTCAAGAAAACTTCAAGTGGCATGAAGAAAAAGAAGAGAAATCAAAAATATCCCTCGAAATAAACAGAGTAGCAATTTTTTTAAGAGATAAACAACTGAATCTTCCCACAACCTGGTCCGCAAATCTGTTCGAGGCTCATCTAATAGCCGCTGGTGTCTTCCTGTCCTTCTACTAGGCCATTCCGACTTTCTACCCCCAGATGTTTCTAAAAAACACCTAGAAATTTCTCAATGATGGGTTCTCTATGAAAATCAAGCCCAAGGCAGACAAGGCAGGAATGAAGAGCCAAATGGCTGCCAGCACAATTGCCGTCCCTTACCTAATCCGGTTCCCTCAGACCACGATTGCCCAGTTTAGCCACCCAAGCGAGCTTGCACAGCCCACAACACCAGTGTCTGTTTCTGTCTCCATAGTTTGAAAATTGCCTCTCTGTAGGCCGAAAGCGCCTGATTTTAGCATTTGTTTTGAGCCCACATCTGCCCACGTGTCCTGTAGGCAAAGCTGTTTGCACAGCACTTGGTTGAAAGTGAGCAAGCCAGGAGAAAGTACTTCCCCAATCCGCCGGGACGGTGTGGCCTTCTGTAGGTGTGTGCTAGCTTGCACTGTTATTTGTGTTCCTGCCCTTTCAGGACATTGAGGTCCTATCCAGTTCTCTCAGTTGGATTTGTTTTTTAATAAAAATTAAATGCATTGCTGATTAAAGTTTTCCTCCTAGCCTCCAATGAATGAATGCGTGCTTGAATTGAACCAGGGATATGCATTTGATATTCTGCTCTGCCTTCCACAACAGATGCTTCCCATTACCGAACTTTGAAGGAGCTATTTAGAAAATAATAAAACTAACAGCTAAGCACTGGGTTGGTTTTTTTTTTTATGCATCTTGCCAGCTTTACTGTAATTATGTCATTCCAGAAAAGATTCTAACCACTTCCTTTCTCCAGCCCTATTGCATTCCAGAAGATCAAAATTGTGGCCGTTTTTGTAAGGGAGTAAATAATTTGCAAGTTTAAAAATAGCTTTCCATGAAATCATTACGAGTTTTGGAATGTTTGTCCAGTAAAACCGTGAATGAAAAGGGAAGCAGCTTAGCTGACCAAGATAATACACAATTAGTGGAAATGGCACTGAAATTTAATCAATGGGAGTCAATTAAGGACCTGATTAAAAAGCAAAGGAGGATCTGATGGACATAAATTAATTTTTGGTCTACCTTCCTTTGGAATAATACATGTTATTATTGTTTTGCCTGCATAAGAAATTGGTGGAAGGCATTTAGAAGCATCATCCCCATAGCCCCATCCATGGCCCCAGAAAGACAAATGTCATTCTTCGGATATCAACTGTCACTCAGAGACTCTGATCATTTTAAACTCTCTACAGTTCATTGAAGAAATTTTCATCTAGGCTTTAGTTTAGAGGCAAGGCTTTCACAAAACCTGTCCAAAAAAGAAATTTCACTTGCTTACTAGTGATGCACAGCTCCACCCCAGAGCTAGTCAACACACCTTTCCAGGACGGGAGAGGATTGCCCTATAGCTGTGTTGTCCAAAACTATAGTTACTAGCCATTGGTGGCTACTAAGTCTTGACATGACTATGTTAGTGGGGAGTTAAAATATGATTTCAATTTTAGTTCATATAAATGTGTTATCCAGACATGCTGGGTTAGTGCTACCATGTTGGGGAGTGCAACTCTAGATCTAAAGAACCCCTCCCCCTTGAGCTTCCTTAAGGGGTAGCCTAGGCAAAGAGGAAATCCTACAGTTGCTTCCAATTTATTTCTAATCTGAAAAGGTTGGTTTTTCTGTTCCAAGACAAACGCCATTATAGAAGGCAGGAGATCCATTGAGCATCTCCTGTTCTCTTTAACCTACCATTGCACTGGACAGAGAGGCTGGCCAAGGTCAGCCCACAGGTTCACAAGATCAGCAGATCTCAAACCTTGTTGTAGAATATTATTTTAAGGTGTGTTACTTTTGTTCATGTTGCATTTGTTTAACTCTGTGAAGCTGTGTTACTTTGTCTGTCTAAAACGCCTGATGGTCTAATAAAGAACTGAATGGCCAGTGGAGAGGCAGGAGAAAGGATAGGCAGGACTGGCAGGCAGAGAGAATAAATAAAAGGAGAAATCTGGGAAGAGGGAAGAAAAAGAAGTAGCCAGAGAAGGAGGAGGACTCCATGGACTAGCCACCCAGCTACACAGGCAGCCACAGAGAGAGAAAGAAAGAGAGAGAGAGAGAGAGAGAGAGAGAGAGAGAGAGAGAGAGAGAGAGAGAGAGAAAGGAAGGAAGAAAGAAAGAAACAAAGAAACAAAGAAAGAAAGAAAGAAAGAAAAGAAAAGAAAGAAAGAAAAAGATTTACAGAAATAAGAGAACAGGAAAAGCCCAGAGGCAAAAGGTAAATGGGATAAGTTAAGGAAAGTTGGCAAAAAAGCCAAGCTAAGGCCAGGCATTTATAATTAATAATAAGACTCCATGGGTGATTTATTTGGGAGCTTAGTGGCGGTCCCCCCTCCCCCACAAAAGAACAAAGAGTAAAGAGAAAAAACAACCAACAACAAAACCTGGCAAATTTAAATTTACATTCTTAATGTTCTGCTGAGAAGAATGACTTGATTTCTCGGGAAAGCACTTTAAATGTGTAAGCCAGTATGAAATACCTAGTATCATTAAAGACATTTGCATTTCCATGGATGATATTGTCAAGGTGCTCTTGAAATCACAGGCTGGGTGACATCCTGTGTTTTCCAGCAGCTGTCCTGGAGTCTTCGCCAGCCCACCCAGCAGGGGACTCCACAGAACCGTCACCTTGCAGGTCCCCCTCAACTCCCCGGCACCGCCGATATCGCCAGCCTGGAGGTAAGAGCTCAGATAGAGATTCAGAAATACAGAAGTCATCTTGGGCTTTTAGATCGGTGTATTGCTTGGTCTTAGTTACAAAGACTGACGAGAAGCAGGTAATGTTGCATAGGTCCAAGGAGGGGAAATTTCAAAGATTAGGAAGGCTGTTTTCAGTCTGGCTAATGAAGCTTAGCCCCTCATTGTGACGTGTACTGTGCAGAAAACAGGATGAAATGTATGTCCTGGAGATGGCTAGTTGTGGGATCAGCTTCTTGACCCCGAGTCCCAGTGTGAGCTGAATGAGCAAGCTTGGGGAAACCTTATTAGAAATTCTTATTTCATATAAAATAAGGCTCAGTTGACTGGGACCCCATCATTATTAGTGGTAGAACCCGATATATTTTTTTCAGTATACAGTTATAAAAATTATGACATATGATTCCATAGTTTGTTGAAAACACAGCAAATATCAGCTAATTGGAAGAGAAACTGCTCAAAAAGCAGAAATATTTTATCTACTTACTGCTCAAATAAATATATTGAAATCAGGGTCACTTTGAAATGTCTCAATCCCCCTACCCCTTTCAAAGCTGATTATTTCAAGCCAGAAGAGAAAATTATGGAACCAGATTCACTCCAAGTAAACCAAGCAAAACAGAGGTCTGTCACTCCTCCATATGGGTCCTTGGGGATTGAACTCAGGTTAACAGGCTCAGTAGCAAGCAGCTTTGAGAAAGTGTGTGTGTGTGTGTGTGTGTGTGTGTGTGTGTGTGTGTGTGTGTGTGTATGTGTGTGTGTGTGTGTGTGTGTGTGTGTGTGTGTGTGTGTATGACGTGTGTGTATGTGTATATGGTGTGTATGTGATGTGTGTGTATGGTATGTGTATGATGTGTGTGTGTATGATGTGTGTGTATATGGTGTGGTGTGTGTGTGTATGGTGTGTGTGTATGATGTATGTGTATATGGTGTGGTGTGTGTGTATGTGTGTCTATATGATGTGCGTGTATATGGTGGTGTGTGTGTGTGTGTATGGTGTGTGTGTGTGTATGGTATGTGTGTATGGGATGAGTATATGAAGTGTGTGTGTGTGTGTGTGTGTGTGTGTGTGTGTGTGTGTGTGTAGTATGTGTGTGGTGTGTGGCCTCTCCCTGAGCCTGAAGCTCACAATTTGCTAGATTGGGTGGCCGTGTAGTTCTGAGACACTGTCTACCCTCACCTCCCAGCGCTGGGATTACAGGTGTGTCTGCCAGGCTGGCTTCTGTGAGTGGGTGCAGGAGATCTTAACTGGTTCATCATGTTTATGCAGTGAGCACTTTATCTACTGAGATAGCCCCAGCCCTCCATCCTTTCAGTTATAAATGGCTACACTCAACTCATCCTTCCTGTAGGATGGGACTAAACCAAAGGCCTCACACATGCTTAACAAGCATTCAGCCGTTAACTGATAAAGAAATTGTACTGAAAGCATGACGTAGAGTCTTCTTAAAATAGTTTTATGTTGAAATATAATTTGTACACCACAAAATTTTTCCTTCTTTTTAAAGTATGTAATTCATTGGATTTTACACACTCAAAAGGCCAGGCAGCCATAACCACGGTTTAATTTTAGAACATTTTCAATACCCTAGAAGAAATCCTATAGTCATAAACAAACTCTCCCATTTCTGCCTCCCCCTGGTAACCACCATCTCTGATCACTATGCTTTGATTCACCCATTACAGACATTTACAAAAGGGAATCATTCAGTGGGGACCTTTATAATGGGCCTTTTCACTGAGCATAGGGCTTTTTGGACTCATCCATTTTATAGTATGTGTCAAAACTTCATTCCTTTCTATTATGGAATAATATTATCTTTTTAAAATCTATTTTTTTTCAACTTATGGATGTTTGATTGTTTCTAGGTTTGGGCTACAGTGAAGCTGCTTCTGTGAATATTCATTTGCAAATTTTTGCGTGGACATATGCTTTTGTTTGTTGTCTGCCTAGAATGGAATTGCTGGTGTATATAATCTCATTATTTGCCTATAAACAGGGATTTCATGGGACCTTTGGTCCAGTCCTTCTTCCAGGACAGGTATTAAAATAAGAATAGTCACTACAGAATATTATCTGTGGGCCTCACCATTCCATTTCCTTTGTCTTTAAATAACCAGGACAGGCAGCTGACAGTAGCCACTGCTCTGTGTCACCTGCTTCTGCTTTCGCAATTGCCACGGCTGCAGCAGGACACGGGAGTCCACCAGGTGAGTCCACCGGCTGAAGCATGCGGCAAATACACTGATCCAGTGGCCCTGACTGCCAGGGCCTTGGTGACTGTGAGTTGGAAATCCTGTCCTTTGCAATACTGGAGAATGAACCTGGAGGACATTATATTAAATACAATAAGCCAGGTACGAAAAGATAAACACTGCATGATGTCAAATACGTTTGGAATGTAAAACAGTTGAACTCATGGAGTCAGAAAACAGAGTGGAAGGCACTGGGGGCAAAGGTCAAGCATGAGGAGAATAAGGAGACACTAGTTACAAAGTTCAGCTACATAGGAAGACAAGTTCTGGAACAACTGTGCAGTCTGGTGACAATAATTAATAATAGTAATAATAATAATAATTATATTACTATTTGACAATCTTGAGAGCATATTTTAAATGTTGTTATCTCAAAAAGTGAATGACATATAATAATGAGCTTGGTTTAATCACTCCATTATATACATACATACATACACACACACACACATACACAGACACGCACATTTATATGCATCACATCATGCCTAAAGACATCAATAAAAATAAGTAGCCAAGCAACCACCATCAGAGGTGAGTCTCACCCGGGGGATCTTTGGGTCAAGCTTCTGGAAAATTCTGTCTGAGAAGGCTGTGTTACTCCCCCAGGGTTGTTTCATGGCTATGACATGTTTCCTCTTCCCCCTGAGTCTGAAGCATGTGCTAGACATAGGGAGGCTTGAAAAGTGGGGATCCTCCAGCTGCCTGTATTTGCTCCAGGATCCCTGCGGAATGACTACCAGGCAGTCTTCAGGGCAAAGAAAATACAATAAACATAACAAAAATAAAGTGCTTTAATACGTGAAAATTATGTTTGTTCTCTATGTCTTTCCTTCACAGGCAGGGGCCAAGACGTTAAATAAATCTGTAATTGATTGAAGTAGGCCCATTGTTGGGTCTTGGTGTAATTTTTTGTCATATTTTTTTTCAGTATTTTTTATTCTTCTCTCATGTATTACATCCAGACCACAGTTTCCCTCTCCCCCCTCTCCCCTCCCCTCTCTCTCTCCTTCCTACCTCTCCACTCTCCCTCTTCCCCAGGCCCACCACCTCTTGCCTCCCCCTCAGAGATGGCATAAGAAGCTATAATAAGACCAGGTACATACGATCACATCAAGGCTGGACAAGGCAACCCTGTAGGAGGAGAAGGATCCCACAAGCAAGTCAGAGACAGTGCCCTACTGTTAAGAATCACACAAGCACACCAAGCTACTCAGCCATATTGTATATGCAGGGGACCTAGGTCAGACCCTACAGGCTCCCTGATTTCTGTGAGCCCCATGAGTCCTGGTCAACTGCTTCTGTGGGCCATGACCTCATGGTGTCCCTGATCCCTCTAGTTTCTCCGATTCTTCCCCCCCCTCTTGCATAGGACTCCCCGATTTCTGCCAAATGTTTGGCTATGGGATTCCGCATTTGTTCCCATTAGTTGCTGGATGAAGTCTCTCTGGTCTCTTTCATAAGGACTCTGCTAGGCTCTGGTGCCAGAACACTCTGCAGGCAGGACGAACTGTAGGCTGAAGGTTTTGTGGCTGGATTGGTGTCCCAATCCCTCCATTTGAGGCCTGGCCTGATTGCAGAAGATGGCCAGTTCAGGCTCCAAGTCCCCCATTACTAGGAGTCTTTGCTAGGGTTATTCTCATAAATTCCATGGAGTTTTCATTGCATCCCCAAATGCCCCCCAATTCCAGTCATTTTTCCCAGTATTTTCTCCCTCCTTTCCCCCACCTGATCCTTCCTGTTCCTACCCCTACCCGCTTCCAGTCCACCTGAGAAATCTTTTCTGTCTCCCCTTCCCAGGGAGATCCTTGCATTCCCCCCTTAAGACCTCCTTGCTACTTGTCCTACGTGGGTCCTTGGGTCTTAGTATGATTCGATTTAGATTTAGATCTGTACCCCATTTTTAAATTGGATTATTTAGTTTGCTGGTGTCTAGTTTCTTGAGTTCTTTACATATTTTGGATATTAGCCCTCTGTCAGATGTGGAGTTGGTGAAAATCTGTGTGTGGCCATTTTGTTCTATTGATGATGCCCTTTGCCTTACAGAAGCTCTTCAGTTTCATGAGGTCCCATTTATTGTCAATTAGTGCCTGCACTTTTGGTGTTCTGTTCAGGAAGTTGTCTCCTGTGCCAATGCATTCAAGACTATTTCCCACTTTCTCTTCTATCAGGTTCAGTGTATCTGGATTTATGCTGAGGTCTTTGATCTACTTGGACTTGAGTTTTGGGCAGGGTGATAGATAAGGATTTATTTGCAATCTTCTACATGTTGACATCCAGTTATGTCAGCACCATTTGTTGAAGATGTTTTCTTTTTTCCATTTACATTTCTGGCTTCTTTATCAAAAATCAGGTGTTCATTAGGTGTGTGGATTTATTTCTTAGTCTTTGATTTGATTCTGTTAATCCACATGTCTGTATTTATGCCAATATCAAGCTGGATTTATTACTACAGCTCTGTAGTACAGCTTGGAATCAATGATGGTGATACCTCTGGAACTTTTTGTATTGTTCAGGATTGTTTTAGCTATCCTGGGTTTTTTTGAAGTTGAGTATTGTTCTTTCAAAGTCTGTAAAGGATTGTGTTGGAATTTTGATGGGAATTCCATTGAATCTGTAGATTGCTTTTGGTAGGATGGCCATTTTTACTATGTTAATCATACTGATCCATGAGCATGGGAGATCTTTCCATCTTCTGATATTTTTTTAAATTTCTTTCTTCAAAGACTTGAAGTTTTTATCTTGCAGGTCTTTTATTCGCTTGGTTAGGGTTACATCAAAATATTTTATATTCTTTGTGGCTATTGTGAAGGGTGTTGTTTCCCTGATTTCTTTCTTAGCTTGTTTGTCATTTGTATATAGGAGGGCTGCTGTTTTTCTTAAAGCTAGTCTTGTATCCAGACACTTTGCTGAAGGTGTTTATTATCTACAGGAGTTCCTTGGTAGAATTTTTGGGGCCACTTATGTATACTATCATATCATCTGCAAATAGTGAAAGTTTGACTTCTTCCTTTCCAATCTACATCCCCTTTAGTTGTCTTATTGTTCTAGCTAGAACTTCAAGTATTATGTTGAACAGATATGGTGAGAGTGGACAGTCTTGTCTTGTTCCTGATTTTAGTGGAATTGCTTTGAATTTCTCTCCATTTAATTTGATGTTGGCTATAGGCTTGCTGTAAATTGCCTTTATTGTGTTTAGGTATGTCCCTTGTATCCCTGATCTCTCTAAGACTTTTATCATGAAGGGGTGTTGGATTATGTCAAAGGCTTTTCAGCATTTAATGAGATGATCATGTAGGTTTTTTCCCCCAGTTTGTTCAATAGATTTTTATTTACTAGTTTTTTGTTTGTTTGTTTGTTTTTTCTGGAGCTGAGGACCGAACCCAGGGCCTTGCACTTACTAGGCAAGAGCTCTACCACTGAGCTAAATCCCCAACCCCACAATAGATTTTTATATGTTGAACCATCCCTGCACTCTGGGATGAAACCCATGGTGGATGATCTTGTTGATGTGTTCTTGGATTTGGTTTGTGAGTATTTTTGCATCAATGTTTGTGAGGGAAATTGGTCTGTAATTCTTCTTTGTTAAATCTTTGTGTGGTTTGGATATCAGGGTGACTGTGGACCCATAAAATGAATTTGTCAATGTTCCTTCTGTTTCTATTTTTGTGAATAATTTAGAAGTATTGGCATTAGCTTTTCTTTGAAAGTCTGGTAGAATTCTATGCTAAAACCATCTATCCCTGAGCTTTTTTTAGGTTGAGAGGTTTTAATGACTTCTATTATTTTCTTGGGAGTTATAGGTCTATTTAAATTGTTTATCTGTTTTGATTAAATTTGGTAAGTGATATCCATTGAGAAAACTGTCCATTTCTTTTAGGTTTTCCAATTTTAGGGAGTACAGGTTTTTGAAGTCTGACCTAATGATTCTCTGGATTTTCTTTTTGTCTATTGTTATGTCTCCCTTTTCATTTCTGATTTTGTTAATTTGGATGCTCTCTCTCTCTCTCTGCATTTTGGTTAGTTTGGATAAGGGCTTGTCTAACTTGTTGATTTTCTCAAAGAGCCAACTCTTTCTTTCATTGATTCTTTGTATTGTTCTCTTTGTTTTATTGATTTCAGTCCTCAGTTTGATTATTTCCTTCCATCTACTCCTCTTGGTATATTCTTTTGTGTTCTGGTGAAATGTTCTGTAGATATTTGTTAGATCCATTTGATTCATAATGTCTGTTAGCCCCACTATTTCTTTCTTTATTTTTTGTCTAGATGACTGGTCTATTGGTGACAGGGGGTGTTGAAGTCTCCCACTATTAATGTGTGATATTTGATGTGTGATTAAAGATTTGGTAATGTTTCTTTTACAAATGTGGGTGCCCTGGCATTTGGGGCATAGATGTTTAGAACTGAGAGGTCATCTTGGTGGATTTTTTCCTTTGATGCATATGAAATGTCCTTCTCCATCTCTTTTGATTAATTTTGGTTGGAAGTCTATTTTGTTAGATATTAGAATACCTACACTATCTTGTTTCTTGCATCCATTTGCTTAGAAAATCTTTTTCCAATCCTTTACTCTGAGGTAGTATCTATCTTGATGTTGAGGTGTGTTTCTTGTATACAGCTGAAGGATAGATCCTCTTTTTGTATCCAACCTGTTGTTAGTCTGTGTTTTTTATTGGGGAATTGAGTCCACTTATATTGAGAGATACTAATGGTCAATAATTGTTCATTCTTTTTATTTTGTTGGTGGTGGTGATGGTAGTATGTGTGTATTTTCCTTCTTTGGGTTTTGTTGGTTTGAGATTATTTATTGCCTGTGTTTTCTTGAGTGTAAGTAACCTCGTTGGGTGGAGTTTTCTTACTAGTACCTTCTGTAGGGCTGGATTTGTGGATAGATATTGTTTAAATTTGACTTTGTCATGAAATATCTTTTCTCCATCTACAGTGATTGAGAATTT